ACTAGAGGAGGTCGGTGCAGAATAGGGACTTGGTGCATGGTGTAATGGAAATGTGTGCCTAAGTGACTCATAGAAGTAAATGCCTGAACGTTGGGTGCCGCAATGCCTCTGAATGTCATCCGAAGCAATCCATGTGCTGAATGGATGAGTCCCATTGTTCAGACACCTCACTCAGGGCTACAGCAAGTCTTCCATCCTCTGAGGATCTACAGGCCTGAAGGTCTTTGGGAATTCAGGACTGGTATTTATCTTTTGCAAGCACAGAGCAAGACCGCCCTTTAAATCAGGGGAAGAGTGACAGTGCCCTCCATTTTATAGCAGACGCTTTATTGTAGACCCATGAAGTATTGGTCCAGAGGGTGGGTTTGATTTGCTCTTCTAAGGAAAGAGAGGGGCATGCCCAAACCCACATCTCATCTTCCACAAGTTTATCCTAATTAACAACTTTTAGACTAATTTGCCCAAGAAACATCCTGCACTCCTCCTGGTACTGCTGTGCCACCCTGCACAAAGGGATTAGTTGGGCCAGAGACTGCAGAATAGAAGTCACTGAACCAAAGAGTGAGTATGGCTGCACTGAAGGGAAAAGCAGGATCAGCCAGGAGGAGAAAATGTGTCCCATCAACCATGTATGGTTGTTTTGCAGTGACTGGTGAAGAGCCCTCTTTGCTCCTCTGCCCGTGAGTGAGAGCCTTGAATGGAGGCTAGTGGGCACTTGTGCTCACTTTCTGGTCTAGTGAGACCTGGGTTTTGTTGCTACATTGTGGTACAGCTTCGAAAGGAGAAATGGACAGTGCTGCAAGCTAAGAAAGGCATGGCTTAGTCAGGTGTGCATTTGTGTCTTCTCAGAGAGAAAAGGGATTAAGTCAGCATAAATTCTTTTTGAACTAATTGTCTAATTATAACAGTAGTGACCAAAAGGAGTGCATTGCACCCGTTCCCTGCATGGGGTAGAATTAACTGATGTCTGCCATGTTTTCTGAGCAACTTGATCCTACTGGTGTCTGGGGTGCTGGAAGTGCCTGGCAAGTCAGGTCCCTAGGAGGTTTAGGAGAAGAACTGTCTACTTTCCAACTCTCTGATGGCCCTGAGAGTGAGCCGGGAACCAAGACTGGGCATATGTGAAGAGATGAAACAACTAAATGCAAATAACTCTTAACTTGGCAAACCGCAGTATCTGAAAATTTTAGGTAAGGAACAGGAATATAGTTTCATTGTAGAGTCTGCCTAAGTCTCACTTCAGGTAACATGAATTCTTTCTGTATCTAGCCTTTAGCATCTCCTTCAGTCCCATGGAAGAGGAAAATAACCTGAATAAAAGGTTATGGGCAACAAACTAAGCTGTAGTATTATCAACTTCTGTGTGCCAAACACCTTTCTTTTCGCGTATCTTCCGCACATTCGCCTTTCCTCCAACAAATGTTTACTTGGGTTTTGCTGCAGTGTAGCTTGTTCTTTGGCAGTGCTTGGTGCAAGATCTCCAGTCCCGTTATGTGTGAAGGACTCAGTTGCACCATGCCACCAGGTGCCAGAAATTGTCTTCCTTTAGGAAGTGGCTTACCCTCATAAGGCTCAAAGTGGAGTTTTCTCAGTTGCAGAAACATTGAACAAATTCTTCCAAACAGTAGAAGTCTGGAACAAGCATAGTGGCTGTAATTCCATGAGGTTTTGCAATTTGCTTCTGCAAATGATAAACAAAGCCTCTGAGGTTTGCTGTTTCTTGTGATTACTAGGATAGAGATCTTTTGGAGACTGAAATCCCCTTGCCAGCTGGCCACGCTTTGAAAAGACACCTCTAAAGCTATCTCCTCCCCTCGACGCACTGACTGCAGTGCTCAGGTGTGCTCCTGCACTGCCCATGAAAATGCACTGACTGTTCTATTGAACTCATTTTGGAGCTTTTGTTGTTTAGGCTGGTGGATGACCACAATGTTTTAAAGATATCCTCTTTCATCATTTCTTCTGATCTCAGATTAGTCTTAAACCAAGAACATGAAATTGCAAGCGTTGCTTAGCTCTAAACATTTGCTTCCAGAACCCTGGAAGGCCTGTAGCTAAACATTATCTGACATTACCCATGGTGGCTATGTAGCCTAAATGTTCTACAACATGAATCAGCTCCTTTCATACATGAATACACATACTCATATTAAAAAATATTGCCTCAGGTCCCTCATTTATTTTCAACTTTTGCATGTTAAAATTATTATATGTACAGTACTGTTGCTGGTTTTGAGGCCAAAGAAGCCAGATGCAATATATTATTCTGCTGTAATCCATTAAAGCATTGAGTTTACAGTGACAAATCACAATTACAGCTTTACAAACTTTTACTTATAATGTGAAGATTACATTAAGCTTTTTGTTTATATTTCCATCCCTTTCTTTTAAAGCTGACAACCTAATAAATGGAAGCAAAACCAAAACTAACCAAGGAACTGCTTCTATGTATTTAGCACTGCCATGGAAGTTGGGTGCTCAGAGTTAAATTATGTCTATATATTTTCAGCACAGCACCCATGGCTCTAGTCCATTGCAATAGGCACCTAAATCCCCTCTGAAGTCAGTGGCTTTCTTTTCTGAGCCTCTCAATGCTCAGAAAATTAATTATTTTTTAAGGAACTTCATACAAAGACCCTACTTAAATTGAAATCTTGTAAGAAAGCAGGGATTCCTGTAGAGTGAAGGGCACCATGTTATGATGTAGGAAGCTCATAAACTTGGGGGCTGCTTTTTGGAACATGTCAGTACTGCTTGAAGTTTCCATTTCTTAGATGCTCGCTGATAACAATGTTCAGCTGTAATAGCTTTAGTTCTAAGAATAAAATGCATCAAAATCATTAGAGCTATGTAACTTCGAGGTAGTGCCACGGAAGTAAAATTAATAATAGTAATTATTATTATTTACATCTTTCATGACTGGAAAGCATGCTCAGTGAGTGGTATCTTTGCCTCAAAAATGCTTGCAATGCAAGCCAAAAATACTGTTAGAAATTCTCTTTTGCTTTTTCCTTCAAATTCCTGCTTTTCTCAGTGTTGTGATTCTTGAATTCTGCCCTGCAACATGAGTAGAGGATGGGTGTCAAGAGACATGTTGCTTTGTGTCACATGCTAAGGGAGAGGCACAGTCCTGCACCAGTCTTCCTCTGTTCTTTGTCAGTGGCAAGGTTGCACAGCTGCCACTTCTGTCATTCTCCTTTTAGCCAGGGTCTGGCTCTAACAAAACCATCCAGCTCTCTTGTACTGGCAAAGGGCTAGAAGAAAAAG